TTCAGCCATATTCTTTGTCTAGTAGTCAAGTTTTATGATTATTTAACAAGTCCATGAATATCCAGCCTCATTCTTAACTGTTCATCTGTGAACTAGTCTTTGAAACTAGTTACGGACAAACTAAGTTATTACAAGTACAAAAAAGGATTGTGATCTACATGGTTTCATATCATGCGACATCTTATGTGTATGTTTAACGTGCCAATATGTAAGAGCGCATTCAAAGCGCTACGATTTATTTAGGTAAATTACGTATCTCATTTTGCAAGGGTGTACTGTATGCATTAATAACGTTGTCACTGACGCAAAAATATTGATAGTAATAGTTTTAGTATTAGTGGTAATTTTATCTGTGGTAGTAGTACTGATGCTGGTGGTAATGGTGGGATATTGCATTGCAGACGTCAAGCGAAACCACCTATCCCAATGAAGGAAAATCATTCTCATCATCTACTTTTGGAGCATTTTGACGTCCCCGAGGCGACCTTTGTTCAGATTGTGAAGCCTAAAATTCAAGAATATATTAATCACTGTCTATTGTGTCCATACACACCAAACTCCAGTAAAAAAAATAAGTAAATTTAATTTCTTACAGGCCCACGTGTGTCTCCATCTCTAGGAGCACCACGGTTGCCAAATCCACGACCGTTTGCACGTTCTCCACGACCTCGTCCTCGACCACGTCCACCAGAACCACGTCGATAATCACTGAATTGTATCTCAATTCCTAACACGCGTTTTTGCCTTCCAACACGTTGAGGATACTCTGCTGCGGCATCATACTCTTCCTCTTCCTCATCTTCCTCATCAGCTCCCTCTTTCTTCCTTTCAAGTGCATACATTTTCTTCCAGCGAGTCAAATCTTCACCTTCTCCAGCCTTACGCAAATTATATTGAGGCTTCACTCTGTTATTACGTAAAGCTTTCCATTCATCCAATGTCAATTCACGCGATTCTTCCTCAACTGGTTTTTCTTCCACTGTATCAGTAGTTGCTTCTCCTTCCTTCGTCTCTGTGGTCGTTTGGTTGACATCTCCATCAGGTTTTTCATTAGCCCAATCTTGACTTTCTTGATTCAAACTTTCTCTAAAAATAGAAAGGAAAACAAAGTTTTAAAAGATGAATTTATTTTAAACCTCAAAAGGTTTGGTTAGATATAATACTTACTCAATTTCATCATTGTGGGTACCCCAGTTATGGCTACCAGCACCATCTTTTTTATCTACTGGTTTAATTCCACTATTTAAACACACAAATATCTTTATTAAATTAAAAATTTTAAATGTAATTGAATAATAACAAGTTAAAATTTACGTTTTATCGGAACCAGACTGACGATCGAATTCACGTTTTCCACGATAATCGTATCCTCCACGACCGCGTGGTCCCCCACGTCCACGTACCATTCCACCACGCATTCCACCACGACCCCTACGTTCTCCATATTCTCCACGTTGATTATCATTAGAATTTCGGAATTCCCGAGTTTCACGTCCCTCACTGAAAAATTATAAAAGAAATATTATTAAAAAAAAAAAAAAGAAAGAAAGAAAAAAAGGAAAAAGAGGGAAAAAAATAACGAAAAAACAAAAATATTACATTATTTTTTTATACTAACCCAGGAGGTCCTCGTCTTAATTCTCCCTGACCACGAGGCATTCTTTCACCATCTTCACGGTTACGCCTGTTGTTGCGTTCTTCTCTACTTTCTCCAGAAAATTTTACATTACGATCTCCCCCACCAGTTCTTGATTGTGGTGGTTTCTTCTCCCCTATTAAGCAATAAAAGTTGTAAAATTAAAGAGCAAAATAGAATTTCAAAACTTAATAAACTTACAAAAATACAATTAAATATTTATGTTTTATATTTAAATACCATTCTCAGATAAAATAAATTTAAAAATAAAATTTTTATTTTAAAATGTCCAAAATATATAATGCCATTAATGCCACAAAAAAGAAAATATTACTAATATTAATTTTATCTCATAGTATATATTTGATGAATAGAAACATATACATATGCATATTAATTTCAGCAAAACTAACAAGAGAATCTTAAATAAATTATTAAATAGTTAAATATAATAACTTACTAATACCTAATAATTAACATTTAATTAATATCAACACGATTTGCTTCATAATTGCCCATGATATTATAAATAAATCATGCCAACTTATAACAATTATTTAATAACTGACATGTGGGATTATTATTATCGACTTCTGTTTTCTTGAAATGAGAAAAACTTTACATTATGCGGTATAAAAAATTTTCGAAAAGTTATAAGAAATAAGAATACCGAGGCACTAAAATTTATACTAATGATTTGCATTTAAAGAATAATATCAAGTGAAATAATAAATTTAACGATATAATTGCTGATCGAAGAAGAAAAACGTTTACTGTACGATAAAATATCAAAAGCACATGGACCCACGAGGACCAGGAGCGACGGCCATAATACCGCGCACGAGGCGAGATTGGAATGAAAAATTACTAACCTTGATCTTTCTTTGAATCTTGCACCTTAGACGCTTGTTGCTGGGAATCTTTGATTACGCGGTTTTTTTGCGTTTTATTAGCGGTTCCTTTTTGTGCATCTGGCTGCTTACTCTTATTCTCCTTCTCCGAAAGCTTCTCCTTTTTCCTAGCTTCCTTCTTTAGTTCCTCTTCTCTCAGCTTCTCATGTGGATCTTCGTCATCACCCAACGCTAACGAGAATTTGTTGGTAACGGCAATGCTGTACATATTTTCCATGATGTATTTTATCCTCTCTTCGTCGAGGATCACGCGAAAATTTCACGGCTACTCTTGAGCCCTTGTGTAACAGAGACATTCAATATTTCAATATGGCTGAGTCGGAGATAGTTCACCACGAGGTCTGTACTCAGGGAGGGACCGCATAATTGTCTTGCACCCAGCGCGCCACCTCCCCACTAATATTATTTATATCGTTAATTTTATATGGTTTCAGCTCGTAAAATACTGTCTAAAATCGAGTTTTTAATTTTAATTGTATTGTATTTATAAAATAACTAATATCCGACAATAAAGTGCCATACTTTTGCAGCTGTCGTTCTCAAAGAAACCGGCATTATTTCCATAAATTACTTAACACTGACTGAATAGATTTTCTTATCTTTTATGCTTTATCTTATTGCCATACAATAATATTTATATGCTGATCTGCTATTTTGGTCATATATCATATTTCATGATATTTATATAAAAATAAAGACCAATATTACAATGTTCGATTTACGATAGTTATGATCTAGTTAATATTTGAAAATTTTATATGTCCATATATTATGTAAACACATTTAAAAATTTCTCAAAGATTTATTATTTCTGAGCTGGATTTTTTCATTGTTACAACTTTTATGTCGTTTAGTCAAAATTTGTATTAGCTATATATTTATCAAAGCATAAGTATTTTCATTAATAAAGATTTATGCACATAAATGTATCCTACAACGTAAAGATAAACATCCCGAATTTACATTTAAAAATATATATTTTTTAAATTTTCTAATTGATTAAGTATATATTATTATAAACATACATAATACATATAAAATAAAGTTATTAATACTCATATTTTCTTTTCCTTTTGTTTGTAAAATGTAAAGTATAATTATAATTTGAAATAGATCTTAATTTTAATTAGGTAGCAATGATATTTTGAGTATAAAATATATTATAAATAATATTTAATTAAATCTTAAAAATATTTGTTTAATGAAAAAATATAAATATTACAGTACAAACATCTTTTTTGCGTTTTCTATGTACGTACTGTAAAGTTGACCATTTATGAAACCATTATGCCGCATTCTCATGTAAAATAGAATTTAAGATTATAAACTTTTGAAATAGAATTTACTTCAATACAAAATTAACAGAACTTTAAACATGAAAAAATATATTATTTTGCAATTATTTTTATTGTATATCAGTAAATGCAATATATGTATCCTAACTTTAACATACAATTTTTATTTTACAATAACAGATTTTAAATACATAAACATTTCATTTCTACCGTCTTCTTTATTTATTAATTAAAAAATTATGCTTTTATTTCATTTATTAAAAAATGTACAATATTTTATGAAATACAAAGTTTTCAAATGGAAATACTTATACTTCATTTTTATACAAATTTAAATCTCAAATGTGTAATATAAAAGATAATAAACAAATTTATCATAATTAGTTAATGTATTATGCAAGCAACGATATTAATAGGCTAATTTTGTATTACGTGTTTCTTTTTTTGACAAGCTTCTGATTGGTCAGACTGTCGCAAAGAAAAGAATGCGCGCGCATAAAAATGAAGCCGCGTGTAGAAAACGTCTGTAAGACGATGCTAACAGTGCGAAAAATAGAAGAAAATAAAAACGCGTTTTTCAAGTGAGAGTTGCAGTGAAAGAAGTTCAATTTTGTAATTAAACATTTTTGTGTTCCTAAATTTGGAATAAGTTTGCATGATTATTGTGAACACGCGCCATCCGTACTAACACGCATACATATACGCGCGTTATACCGGGTATACTCGTTTTGGCGGTTCACTAGTTGCACGCGGCACACGGAGGGTGATAGAGAGAGAGTAGGTGGTTGTTCTAACATTAATTGTTACGGTGGCGGGTGAGGTGCAGAGTGAAGTGAAAAACGTGAAATGGAATTGCACACACCAAAGCGTGAGACGCGTCTTTTGACGGAAGCGTTACCGTGTAGTCCACCAATGTGCGACAGCATGCTTTATCCATGGAACTGGAGCGAAGAGGCAAGAAATGTAAATCTTAGTCCAGGTAGCTCGTGCTCCTCACCGGAATATAGAGAGCATAGTGTGGTGACCACGCGAACCGGGCCTCGATCACGTTCCGGGGGCTCAGAAAGTCATCGTCGTGGTCGACCAAGGGCTGATGCACTTTCAAATCTTATGATGCAAGGAAGTACCTCTCCGAGTAGTATAAAGTGTACTTATTGTAGCCGCGTATTTCCACGAGAAAAGAGCCTTCAAGCACATTTACGTACTCACACAGGTATATTTGTTTGCCTTAAGTATTAATGTAATATTTTTTACATATTTTATGGAAATATAAATAATTTCAATTGAAGTTTCTGTGAAAAAATTGTCATATGCACCGTCAGTAACTCGTAGAGTCATATGATTTCAACGGTTTGTGCGATTCTGTGCGGTCACGCGTCCCGCCAATCGCCATCATGCGTACTTTAAATAGTTAAATGGCTTATTTGTAGAAATAGGTTCATATGAATGGAGTGACGCTGCTTAATGGAATACAAAATTTTAGCAATATTTTTTGTTTTTTTGTATATTTTAATGAAACTAATTATTACTTAATTGAAAAAAAAATATATATTTTTTCAATAATCTTTGAGATATTCTTTGTTTAGAGGAAAGAAAAATAATTTGTGATTTTCCTGCTTAAATTGTTTTATTATATATATAGTATATATTTTATTTCATAGAATATAATTTGTAATATTGTAATTATAATATATGTATAGTATATTTAGACAATATTATTCATGCTTTTCTGGTCAAAATACTTTTATTAGTATAATATATATTATTAGTATAGTATAACATACTATACTTTTATGATATAAAAATATTACTAATCAATTTTTCTTTAAAAATATGTTGCATAATATTTTATATATTATTAATAAATTTAATTAAGTGATATTTTGATACATAAATGCATTTTTAATAATAGGAATTGTACATATTTTTAGGTTCTAAAAGAATATTTGTTATAAATAAATAATTATTATTTTAGGAGAACGTCCATATCCATGTGATTATCCTGGATGTACAAAAGCCTTTACTCAATCAGGACAATTAAAAACTCATCAACGACTTCATACAGGAGAAAAACCTTTTTTATGTACAGAACCTGGCTGTGAAATGAGATTTACACATGCCAATAGGCATTGTCCAGATCATCCATATGCTACTCTTACACGATCTGATGATTTTGTGTTAAAACCAGTGTCAGAAAATACTGAGTTACCTCATGATGTTAGTAGATGGTTAGAACGTTACAAAATGTCAAGGGAAAGGGAAGATAGAACACCTACAGGAAAGAATGAACGTAAGAAAAAGACATGGAAAAGTAGCTCAGAAAATCACAAAAGAGTTAAGTCCAGAAAAGGTCTAATGATGGATGCAACAGGAGAGCAAGAAAATCTAGATTGCAAGCAGTCCAATCAAAGATTGTATTGTGGAGAAAGTCAGGACAGTCAAGAAGAGAGTCAAGATGAAGATCCAGCAGTATTACAGACATCTGAAGACGAAGAAATAGCAACAAAGTTAGCAATTACTCCCTTAAGAAGACCATTAGATAGACTTCAACCAAAGAAAAGATGGTTACGTGAAGCTTGTTTAGAACAACAACTAGCTAAACCTTTAAATTGGGATACTAAGCCTATTAATGTACCTACAACCACTTCATTTAAAATTAATGGTAACCAAATGCATTGGAGCTCACCTACTGATAACTCATCTGCTTTGTTAGATAATTCATGTTTAAATGCATGTAAAGAAATTGAATTTACAAAATCAGAGGTAGATTCCTCTTATACATCTGCTCAGATATCTTGGGATGCAACTGCTGAAAATGAATCTCTAGAACCGCCTACAAAAGAAGAACAAAGATATACATTTGAAACAACAAATACATTATCTCAAAACATTTGGAATTCTTCACAGCATCATGTGAATAATTTTTCAGATAATATAAACCAAATGAAAACCAATATTAACCACTCTACTTCTAAACTTGAGTCTTCCAAGAGTCCAAGTCATGTATATTGGGATAATAATTTAACCAATGAAACGTCCAAATCTCAAATGAATCAGACTAATGTAAAAATACAGGATTTTGCTCAAAAAGATATTTCCAAACAAAATATATACATGAATTCTCATATTAGCGAAAATGTAACAAGACCTACTGTTTTAATGTTAGCTGGAAGTTTTAATAATAATAACAACAATAATAATAACAATAATAAAGATACAATTTCAAAATTACCATCAATGGAATCTGAAACAGGATTAAAAGTAGTTGTTAAGCAGGAAGATAATCTTATCAAGTTACCAATTCCTGAGGATAGTCAAAAATGGCTAGGAGCTTTAGCTTTGATGGAATTAGCTAAAAATCAAGAAGAGACAGGAAGAGGTGTGAGTTTTAAACTGAACAAAGATGAATTCTCCATTAACTCTGAGATGAATTATACCCATTTATAGACTGTGATTACTGGCTATTGTAGTTTCGTATTATTTTTATATGGCAGAAAAAAAAAATAAAAAATAAAAATGCATTTATTACCATAATGCAGTCTATTTTTGAATATGTTGATAAGAAATTTGAATCTGCCTTTCTTGTTACACAATCAAGTAGCATTTTTATATATTTTTCTAATTACATTATAATGTTACAGTTTACTATGTTGACCATATATTAGCATTTTACTATAAAATTACATGTTATAACTTTGCCATTATTAATATTAAGAGTAGTAGAAAGTCTGGAATTATTCTTTCTTCTCTTTCTGATTTTTTCTTTTCTTATTTTCCCCTCTAAAAAAAGGATTAGTATGTATAAAAAATACTTTTTATTTACAATTTCATTAAGATTTGAGTGTGTATTTGCATAAAATTAAAAAATTTGCACTACACTTAATATTTTTCAAAATATCTTTAAATGGGGAAAATGGAACCATAATGCTTTTATTTTGCAAAATTGTTTCTCATTGTCAGTCACATATATTTGTATATTTTTTATATAAGTAAAAGCATTTTTCAGGTACAATTTTCACTCAACTTATATGAGGAATTATATCACTGTAACATTAAAGTATGTAAGAATATTCTTTATTCATTTTAAAATTTTGATTACTTGAGCAGAGGAAAGAAAAACAAAGTTAATAAGTTGTATGAATAGTTAAAAATTATGCTGTGTATATGTATAGTATAACTTACAAATGTTATCTATGTCCCTGTGATTATATATCAATTGATATTGTAAAAAAAGGTACTTATTGTACTTTAAAAAAAAAAAGATACATTTACAGCAACACACATAATATGTAAAAATTTAACAGCATCTTTAATAAGCAATTTGACATTTAATGGCATAAAACATTCTAAAAAAAATTATATCAATTTACAGTACAAATTTTTATATAATACTTTTGATTTTAAACATAATATGAAGTAGAAACACAAGAATTTACAAATGAAAAAGTTCGTTAACTTCATTATTCACCCAATCTGACAAAAATCTGAAGTATTATTTTTTTCTTTTTTTTCCATTGATTATTTCTGCATTCACTTTATATGCAAATGAAAATATTTCATGCAATAATCGTTAATTTTGTATCTGTCCAATCATTTCCATTAATATTTATACTTCATATCATTTAGAAAAGAAATCTTTATATGAATGAGATTTTAATAGTTTTCTATATCCCATTTTTCATTCTACAAAGTAACAAGATGTTACATTTTTCTTTTAGTTAATAATACAAATTTATTTATTATTATCGGCTATATCATATAACGAAAAAAAATTTGTGTGATACTTAGAATATTAAAAAAAATTTACAAAGAAAAATTTTTTCGAAAATATTGTTTGAAGTTTGTAAAGTATTTAATCGGAGTAAATATGATTATTTATAAAATGTTATAAAGGAAAAATAATGGGTAGTGATAAGGTAAAAAAACTTTCATTTGTAACGTCATTAAGTAATTTTAACTCCTACTATTTTTACTAGATGTGTACATATGTGAAATATTTTAATAAATATTTTTAAAAATTTTACAAAATATTTAATTAATAACACCATTATATAAAATATAACATGATTAAAAAGGGCAGTTTTTTAAGAATTATTTCTGGTATTTTTATTATAAATTAATTTTTATTTTAAAAAAATATATAACAGTCTCTATAATTTAATTTCTTAATACTTATTGAGAGTGTTATATTGTGTTATTATAATGTTATAATTTTTCTTTCGATTTTCGAACTTTTACATTATGCGATTCTTTATTTAGAACACTATTTTTCGTAGATTTTTTTGTAATTCTTAGTCTAGTATTTTCACTTGTACATGTCCTGGAACTGTCTAAATTATTTTTCTCTAATTGTTCTATATTTTCTTCACTGATTCTATTTTGGTTTTGGCATGATAAAGTTTCTATTTTTATAGAAGATACAGATTCTTTATCAAATTCAGATATCACATCTTTTTTGTTTATGGGATCGATATTATCCTTCTTTTCGTTGATATCAAAATCCTTAAATAGTGCAATTACTTGATTAATTTTGCTATAATCTTTCGAAGTTATTTGCTTCGAATGTCGTGATTTTCTAATATTTTTTTGCGAAATTGTATTTACTTTAAGGTCTTTTATCGTGTTAATTAATTTCTGTATATTTTTGGTCGTAGCTGGTTTATCTATATTGTCCAATATTTTACACAAATGATCAGATATATCTGGTGCTAACAATGCGATTTTTTCAATTATATCTTTTATTGAAACATTTGAAATGCATTCCACATCGATCAACTCTTGCAATGATAAGCTATTTTTGGATTGTTCTGTTTCCTGCTTTATTTTATTAACTGTGTCAGAGTATTCATCATCTAAGATTTTTCTTCTCGTTAATCTAGTATGCGATCTTGTTCTCCTGTATCCAGGCGGTGATGAAGAAGTTTCTTCATCATCACTGAAATTCATACTGATTTTTGTTAATTTTAAGAGAGGAGGAGTTCGATTACGTCGGAGAGTAATAGGTTTTTTTGCTCGAATATTATTAGTAATTGGTGTTACACAAATACTTTCTTCAATATTTGATTGTTGGACATATTTACTTATATTAATATCAGAAGCATCAGGAATTGTAAATTCTGAAAGAATTTAAATATAACTTATATTTCAAAAAGCGATAAATGATATTTTTATATAATATGTATATAAATACTTACTCCAATGATCAGAAGAATTAAATATCTTTTCAAAACGATAATCAAGCATCAATTCTTCAACAGCCATGTAAATTGGATGTCCTTTCAATTTGTACATGTCACATATTTGAATAATTAATGAGATGATACTTATTATTTTCTCTTGCTTTGTATTCATATAACTTCTTAAAAAGTAAGAAAAATTCATTAATAATAGTATATAATCTATACTATAAAAACGTTCTTGCCAAGGAAGATATTGATTATTACATGTTAGGATATATTTTTTCGTTTTTGTTAAATTTTCTTTTATTTTAAATGCACCATGAAAGTGTTGTAAGGATGGTACTATATTTTTTTGTAATGCATATAATTGCGCTCTAATATGTGTACTTATGAGTACCAAATAATGATATGATACATTTTGACAGACATAACAATTGCAATCTTTATGAGACATAAATTCAGGTAAATCGAACATTTTGTTGCGAAGTACTGGTGATGTACTATTTTCAGGAACATCCCTGATAGGATCTACAGCTCGAGATGGTGTTACAAACAAATTTTCAGAATTGGATTTTGTAGGATTACTCATCATAGATATTCTAAATGTTTCGATATTTAATATATGCTCCAATCCCTGAAGTTTTACTTCACAATCGCTTAACTGTGCACGCGATAAATCAATGTAACAAAGGGATTTTAAAATTTCTGCAACTCTTATAGTTGCTCCTAAAATTTGTGCAGTTTTTAATCGACGTACTAAATGAGCACTAATTTCTCGAAAAGATAATAAACTATTCATCCGCAGGGATAAATTAACAGTTGCAGATAATAGTATATCAAATCCAAAAAGATATTTGTCTTGAGGTTTCCCTAAAAAAATATTAAAATATAGTGATATTTCATATTTTTAAATAAAATTTTTTTATAATTTAGAAATTTACATTTTCGTGCAGAAAGTTCCTCATTTAAATTGACTAGGGTATATAAAGTTTCAACAATGTATCGTGTATACTCTTCATGTTTGATAGTTTCTTTATACAAATAACAGTTGCACAAAATTCTATCAAGACTGTACAAATATACAGATATATTATTGAAAAAGGAAATTCCTGGTAGTTTCCTGGATTCATCAAGCAATTTTCTGGCTTCCTCGTACTAAAAATATTTATATGAAATAGTTATATCATTTATAATTATTTATAAATGATAAACTTACCATATTACATTCAAAGTAAAAGTCTGATAAACTTATCCAAAAAATAGCAATAGTGTATATTAAATCTTCATCATGAGTATCTTTCGATTTGATAACAAGCTCTTTAGCAATGACAATCCATTCATAATTAATATACCTCAATGATATGCAACGTCCTATAACTAATAATGAATAATAATAATGAATTAATATTTTTTAATATTTATATGTATAAATTTAAAAAGTAATTTTTAATATTTATACCATAAATGATTGCAGAATTATCTTGCAGTTCTGATGCTAATGCATATGCAAGTTTCCATATACTAATTTCACATTCTTGATATCGATACAAATGAGCATATTCACCTGCTATGAGTAACGTGTGTAATGTTATTGATGACTCGTATCCTTTTGCAATTTCTTTCTATTAACATAAATATGTTTATTAATTAATTGTAGATACATTAAATTTCGATTTATGAAACTTACAAGATTTTGCTTTAAACATTTTTCCCACTGTTTTATCGATATCTGTAAATACATCATAAGTCTAGAGTCTTCTTTGATATTTATCATAGTATAAGCTGGTACTACGTCATGATATTCATTTTCTTCAGTGTCATTTACTTTTGGAGCGTATAATGCGAATTTTATATTTTCAATTTCCATCTGAGTCTTTTTATTTACAATGCGCAATTGAGTTACAAAAATATAAAATTCTAAATTGGCTTGCAAACACAAAATGGAGCTGTTCATCTTAACTTGTTTCAGGTTCAAAATTGCTTGCTTAATACATTCTAAAATATCTTCATCATAATCAAAATTTAACGAGTGATATGCTAACATTTGGACCACACGAGCATGTTGTACTGGTGTTGCATTTAATACTTTCATTTCACTAAGAATTTTATGAATAGTGGCAGAGAGATTAACTTTTGCTTCTTGTAAACCTTTTGCCTCTCTTAAGCATATTTCAAGAAGATCATATTTTGACAATTCAATAGATAATCCTAATTCCTCAATTTTTAATTTGTCTTTCTTTAAACAAGCTAATATAGTCATTTCCATGAGTTCCTTACAAGCTACAAACTTATGTTTTATATTTGCCCACATGCGAAATGCTTTTGAATTGGAATCATTATAGCTTAATAAAGCATTTAATGCAGTTGCAGTCATTGCTTCTCTATACATGTTATGATTATAATGAAGAGAACTTATTCTATGTAATGTGAGACAAATGGGATTCTGAAGGTTCATATATTGTGACTTTGCTTCAATACCATCAAGTTGTATAATGGAAGCAAATAATAAGGAAAATAAAGATACACTTTCTTCATAAAAGCAGTCAGATATTATACCTAAGTTATAAATCAAGGCACTAGAAGTAGACCATAAATGTGTCCAGCATATGCATTCATATTCTTTCATTTCACAAATGTATGCTATATTTTGCTCCAAAAATTTTCTAACGAGTACATACATATTTTTTGATAGATTATTTGTAGGAAATTTGCTAATTAAATTGATATATCTGGTTGTTATCACTACTGCATTATATATATCTTTTTTGTTCATACAATTCACATTTTGGCAAGACTTACATTTATCTGATGTCTGTTTAACAAAACATACACTTAAATGTCCAACTAAGTTCATTGTTTTCAATAACAAATCATTCTTTAAATATATTTTCATCTCAGTTTTTATACATGTTTCCCAATATATAAACAATGGTTCTAAAATCTGAACAATACTAAATGTAGTCCATTTAATAAATCCTGTGTATCCATATATTTTTGTAAGTTTTACATAACTATCAATTAACTCTTGAATCCTTTTAACATCATTTTCTACAAGATATTCAACTGGTTTCACAAATATAGAACACATAGATTCAAATAGTAAGAAACACTTGTAACATTCTTCATCTTCAATTAAAATCTTTTTAAAATTATCACTTATAGTATTTAAAACTTTTATTGCTATTTTTAAACACTTTTCATTAATGTTCTCATATATGATTCTGCTTGTTATATGAAGTATATGACGACATATGATATACTTTTCATCGATATTTAAGATTATTTCTGTGTGGACTAAATAGTCAAGTATAAATGCATAAAAATCAGAGAAATATGTATTTGGTCCTGTATTTATCAATGCAATTTTATCCAAATATGAACTAACTTTTGCAAGTAAATGTTTTGTAGGATTTTTATATGCAATCTGTATGACTTCTAATTCATATTTTATGATATTTTCTAATTTTAAATAATGTTTGGAACCTGATGGATCTTTTTGTATAATGAGAAATTCATTATTAACTGCATTATACCATAAATAAGTTATCTTTACTAATATATCACTCACATTATCATTAATATGATCAGAATATAATGTTTTTGTTTTTAAATGAAGACATACATTATATGCCTCATTAAACATGTACATTGTTAACAAACAACGAATTATATGAAATAAACTAGAAACAAATTTATTATTATCTGGTATATTAGTTAAATTTGAACACAGTATACAAGTTAATTTATAGATATCTTTTCCTGTGGCATAATTTTGTTTATTACATTTATCTGCAGTGTGTGAAAGATATAACAACAATTTAAAAATATGTTTGTTAATTTTATCATTTTTATCGAGTATATTTCCCTGGAAAAATTAGATATAAAATTCATTTATGAATATAAAATTTGTACGTTTCAAAAATAAACCCCAAATACACGTAAAAATAAAATTTTATTACAAAAATATTGCAAACCTGAATATCTTCTATTACATCATTTAATTTTTCTGTTTGTATTAATTCAATCCATATTTTCATTTTTCCCTCTACTATGGTATTCATTTTCATAGTGAGTACTAAATCTTTTAACGAATTGTATACACTATAAAACAGTAATAAAGGTTGCAGATCATTTCACATTTACGCGGTGCAAATATGGCATAAACTAAATGTACATTAGTACATATAACTTATGTTTAAATATTTTTTAAGACTTTTTATTTGCTACAATCATTATTCACTATAATTAAACATTAAATAGATGAAAAAATTAATTTTGATGTATAAAAATACCATCTTTTATCTAATTAAAAAACTCAAAATTAAAATTTACAGTTGGCTGTTACATTATAGTATCAAATGATTAGTTTCGTATCTACTCTTTACTTCTCTATGTTTAGTTTATTCAAGCATAGGAGGCATAAGGTCTTTTTTAAGTTAACCTATACTAACCGGAAAGTGATCAGGAGCATATGTTAAAAGGTTACGTTAAGTCGGAATAAATTTTTAATTAGAAATGAACTCAAGAACGCAGACTAGAAGAATTCCGGAGGTGGAACCACGAATAGATTATGTGCAATGCGACGGATTAGTAGTTATGAAAATGGTGAAGCATTGTCACGAAGAATCAATGAGTAACATGGATGTTGCTCAAGGAGCTTTACTTGGTTTAGTTGTTCAAAATCGCCTTGAAATTACAAACTGCTTTCCTTTTCCTAAAAATGACGAAATTATGGATGAAGAAGAGTATCAACTTGCTATGATGCGTCGTCTTCGCTGGTAAATAATATTTTATATTAATTACAATTAAATTGTATTAATATGTAACAGTAAAAATAAATATAAGCTTTATTTTTTTTAGGGTGAATGTTGATCATTTTCATGTTGGATGGTATCAAAGTGCAGATGTTGGCAATTTTTTAAATGTGTCTTTATTAGAATCACAATATCATTATCAAACTTCTATTGAAGAATCAGTAGTACTTATATATGATACAGCCAAGTCAGCAAGAGGTTTTTTGACTCTAAAAGCATATAGGCTTACTCCACAAGCTATACAAATGTACAAGGAAGGTGAATTCACACCAGAAGCATTGCGTACTTTAAAAATTGGTTATGAAAATTTATTCATTGAAATTCCAGTTGTAATAAAAAATAGTAACTTAACTAATATAATGATGTCTGAATTAGAAGAAATGATTCCTGAGGAAGAAGGTACTAAATATTTAGATCTTGGAACAGCTACAGTTTTGGAAAATCAATTACGATGTTTAATGGATCGAGTAGATGAATTAAATCAAGAAGCTATGAAATTCAATAGGTATCAACAGTTGGTTGTACGCCAACAGCTAGAAAAAAATAGACTTATAGCCAAAAGAGAACAAGAAAATTCTGCTAGATCTGCAAAGAATGAGCCTCCATTGCCAGATGATGATATTAACAAATTGATGAGACCATTACCTGTTCCACCTAGATTGAATCCAATGATTGTTGCTGGACAGATTAATACATACAGTGAACACATTTCACAATTCTGTGCTCAAAGTTTAGCAAAATTATATATTACCCAAAGTCTTCAAAATGCCAAGGAGTCAAAATCATCACATTAAAATAACTTTAACTATAATTTTGAAAGATTGTAATATTAAAAACTAAAAAATGACATTCATAATAATAAAATTGTTTAAGATAATCTATATTTATATCTAATATTAATTTTTTTATAAATGTTATTTAAAAGTTTTTTATTATTTTCAATAATTAAAATTTATTGATATGTGCATTTAAAGAAGCAGGACTATTTGATGTACTTTAAAATTCGTGATACAATCGATACAACGTTATATATATTTAAAATTTCGGAATGTAATTTTTCATATGTATCCTTAATTTTTTGCTAATCAGTCCTTGTTGCCTTATACACATGACTTGCTTTGATTTATTGCATAACTGATAGATTGGATCTACGGGCAATTTGATCCTTTTCAGTTTTTAAATCTATTAGGTGTTTTAATCCATTTTTCGTTGGGTGTGATACATAATGGAGCAATTACTGGTCCCATAATTAAATTCATAGTGGTCATATTTCATAAGATATTGGAAAAGGTTTTATCGAAAATATTAACAGAATATAAACAGCAATTTCAGCGTTTGTAATGACGCTAAATAAATTTTTAGGAGCTAAATGCTAAATAGTATTATCAAAATTTTGTTTTACTTTTGGGTTAATCCACCCAAAGCAGACCAAAAGTAAACATATAATATCAACTCCTCGATTTTTCTGATATTACGAGATACAGATTCGGTTCCATGTTGATAAACTCTCATATTAAGTCGTTACGCACGCAAGATTGTAAATCGGTTTTGACTTCCTTACATTCAAAAATAATTTGTTTTAAAGGCTGGGACCTTTCATATATTACTTTTAAGACTTCGGACTATTATTTAAGAACAAGAAAAAGGATTTTTTCGAAATTTTAAACTGTCCTGTCCCTTTAACTTATTTAATTTTCCTTTCTCTTATATGTTATAAAGTACATCGTTTCTTTTCTTAATTCTACGTTCGCAACTATGTAAATGGTACTTTAAATCGTCCAAGTGTACATTCCCAGATAAAAGTTTAATATGTGATATAGAAATTAATTCATAGAGACGGATCCAAAGTCAGTAACGGATTGTAATTTTATGCACCCCGTGTTTTACAGCTAACCTCCAATTACCAAATAGTTTTTTGTATTTTCTTCGATGAATTACATTTCTCCGATTTGTTACTTCTCGCATCTAGAATTTTTTCCTGATTTAGATATCGAAATGTTTTACGAACAAAAGATATACTAGCCTAAAGTCATGAAAGTTTATTATGTTCTGCGAACACTAATGGTACAGTCGTTTAAATTTTCCATTCATGTGGCACAGAATTGCACACACGTTAAAGCGCAAATACGTAAATGTCAGTCATAAGGCTAAGTAGATCGGTGTAGGTATGTGACCGGGTGCAATCAAACAATTTGAAACAAGGAGACGAAAATTTACAGCAACAGCAGTTAGAATTCGAAATTACTATTAGTACATGTACTTACAATGGAGGGTCACCAGGTATGTAAACCTATTGAGAAAACAAAAATGAACGATGTATCGCTACATAGTTTAATCAACTCTTTACATCATGACTCATTCTTTTGTACGACAATTAAAGAACTTTTGTTCTATTTAAAATATATTTTCGCTATATTCACACTCAATATTTTTTTCAGGTAAGAGCCCTATATGATTTCACAGGGGAACCAGGAACAGCAGAGTTGTCTATCACAGCAGGAGAAGTGTTAACTGTTATGAGAGATAATGTAGGTGATGGATGGTGTGAAGGCTTTAATCAGAATGGAAAGTCTGGATTATTTCCAGCAGCATATGTTCAAATTGTTGAAACTACAGCCTCTGCACCAAGTATACTTATTGCTTTACTATATATAAAAAATGTTTAATCAATTATATTAATTTAAAAGATTATTACATTTTAATTTTTTCTCATAAATTAGATGCTATGACATCATCTCAACAAAGTTCAGGAGATTATTGGGATGATGATTGGGATGATGATTCTGAAGTTGGTCAAACACAAGCATATGTTCCTCAACAACAGCAACAACAAAATATGATACAATTGCCACAACATCATAGTGTTGATTATGCAGATTCAGTATCTATACAAGCTATTCATTCTGTGATACCTGAAAGACCTATACCTAGTATACCAAAGAAAAACAATAAATTTTCTACATTAATAAAGTCTGGAGAAGATAGTTTTTTATTAGGGATGAGAGTAGCAAATGTTCCTGAAAGTGAAAAAATATACATTGAGGAAATTGAAGGTGGACGTTGTAAATGGGTCCCAAGAGGAGAATCTTATAACTGTGTAGTTACATCTCCCAAAAAAGAATCTAAATTGAAGGGTCTTAAAAGTTTTATAGTTTATCAACTTACACCAACGGTATTTAATTTTATATCTGATAGTTTTATAACAGTAAAATATGCAACTATCGTTTAATTTTTTGTTGTAGTTTAACAATATTCAAGTTTCAAGAAGATATAAACACTTTGATTGGCTACATGAACGTTTAGAAGAAAAATATTGTTTCATTCCTATTCCTCCATTGCCAGATAAACAAATATCAGGAAGATATGAAGAACAATTTATTGAGCATCGACGCACACAACTGCAAGAATTCGTTGATTATGTTTGTAGACATCCTGTGCTAGCGCGTAGCCGAGTCTGGGAACATTTTATAACTTGTACAGATGAGAAAAGATGGAAGGCTGGCAAGAGACAGGCCGAGAAAGACGAATTATTAGGTGTAAATTATTTTAACGCTATTCATTGTCCTGAAACAACTTTGGATGCTATAAAAGTAGAAATTCAAACAGATACTTTTAGTAGATTTATAAGCGGATTAGATCCGGTAGTTAAAAATTTTATGGCTATGGCTGTTGACCAAACAAAAAAAAGTCAAGTTCTCTATAAAAGGGAGTTTCAAAAAATTAGTCAGAGTTTTAGTACATTAAGCCATGCGTTAGAAGGCGACGAAAGTAGTCGAGGAAAATTAACTTATGCATTAAAGGTGACGGGAGATGCTTATAATGATATAGGCAAATTATACGAAGAGCAGCCTAAGTTTGACTGGGAACCTCTTGCTGATAAATTTCATATTTATAGAGGAATTATTAGTAGTTTCCCAGATGTAATTAGTATACACAAGGTAATTGATAAGGGAAATTCTATTGTTCAAAAATACATTTTAATTGTTATAGTTTTACAAACAAATTTTGGCATGTTTGTTAAACTGTTTTGCTTTTTTTTCTTTATCTTATTTAGACTGCTGTACAAAAACGAAAAGATTACGAAAGACTAGTAAATGAACATAAAATGGAACCACAGCAATTACGAGATCTGTCTCATCGAACGGATGTAATAGCACGTGCTCTTCTCGCCGAAGAAATGCATCTTCAAACGGAACAAGAGATTCATTTGACTCGAGCAATGAAATCGCATCTCATAGAGCAAATTACGTTTTATCAAAAAATTGTAGATAAATTACGGGAAGCGTTAATTACATACGAAATCTAAAATGTATATCTAATATAGTGTAAGATTGCTTCGTTTATAATATCATTTGGTATAATATATAATATATAATATATAGTATCAAATATGGTATTTTAGTTAAAAATGTACGAACTGCATGAATTTTCAAACGCGTTATATTTAATTATTGATAAGTATTGATTGCAGGAAAATTATGCAAATTACACAGAAGGGGCCAATTTATTTCCAGATGTTACTCCAAAATCTACATGTACATAGAAATGTACAACTATATTTTTTATTTGTAGTATTTTTTTACACTCATTTTAGTACTGTAACAAAGTATTGTGAAGAAAATTAATCAAACAGAAGAAAATGGTATTAAGTTTGATTAAAATAGTAATGAAACGCAATTTGCAGAAAGGAGAAAATTGGCATCAACTAAACGGTATTATTAACGATGCATAGTAATATATTGAGTGTCAATGTTAATATTAATCTTTTGTGGCTGCTACTTCTGAAAATTTGAAGAAACATTGTATAATTTATTTTTTTAACATACTTTAATTATGAATGTTAGTTTAATCGTTTAATTTTTCACTAAGTATATATATATCCATATATATTATTTATATGTTTCATTACATATTGATAAGTGCTTGGAATGTAAGCCAAATTTTAAACATATAATAAATCAACATGTAATAGAAACTAATCTTGTTAGATTACAGTCTAGTATAAAAGTTTACATTACATTTTATAATAAATATAAAATATATAATTTTTAACAAATTTTTTGTGTATATTAAATAATAAATATTTATATTATTTGTTAATGTGTATCTGTGAAAAATCTAATTATTACAACGTTATAAATTCATAAGTTCAAAATACATTGTCATCAATAGCAGCAATAGTAGTCAAGTCAATTTTTATACAATGTAATGTAAACTCCATTTATTGTGGTATTAAATGTAAGTATTTATTTATTAAACTACTCTTGTGCCCAAACTAATTGATTTTTAAATTTATTTAAAAAAAGAGTTTTACATTATTCATGGATTATTGATTTGTAATTTTACATTTTACAAAGGCAGCCACAATATATTGATAGATCATTAATATAAAATGTAATAATCATGTAAATTTCCTATTTTCTCTATATTGTATGCAAACTGAAACTGTTACACATTTATTAGTTAACAAATTATAAAGTAAGGTATATCATTGTTAATGCATTTAAAATAATTTGTATAAAGAGACAGCTTATTTTTAAGCACAAACACACGCAATTTTGTAAATGTTATTATTATATCATCATTATTATTGTTATCATTTGCATCAACCATGTGTTCGTTTTCATGTCCGAAAGGAAACTTCTATTAAAAGTGCATTATATTAAAGTGCGATTAGTTTACTTATTCTGTAGTATATAAGCGTTCTGACATTTCCGTTTTATTTTTAATAATTTTATAACTCAGGATGACTTTAACAAAACTGACTGCATTAATATGATTAGCGAAAAAGTTAAATCAGCTAAATATATATATGTATATATATATATTTTTTTTATTCATCAACATTCCATGAAATAGTAGTATCGAACATTTGTTGTGTAGCACCACAATTAAGACATTAAAAAAAAATCTATTAAATCCGAAAATTTGATATCCGCTTTCTATATTTTTCTTACTTGTAAGACAGTTTTCTGAAGAAAATAAATTACTCTGTTTTATTAAGCAATGCATACTAAAAATTTAACTATTCTTATTCTCGAAAATATCGATTATTCGAATATATATAGTTTACAAAAATTTACTGTTTCATACATCTAAAAAAAATCAGCGATTTTAATAATCCTTTTAAAGAGTATTGAATATATTGGCACTGAAAATTAGTTTAATATATTCTGTTCACTAAGATCTTTTGCATAAGGTTGATAAATTTATGTCATTATTTTTTTTAACAACACTGATTTTTTGTATCAAGTATAATTTAACAATGAAACGTCTGATAATTATTCCCACATGCACAAATGTAAGCATAACAATTGCAAGGCTTGTGCAATGAGAAAAGTTACAATAGGAAGAAGTTATTCCTGCAATTAGTTGATAAATATAGGAGCGCAGTTATGCTTAATTTATAGGCAACAATTAAAATATTTTAATCAACAGTGCATTCTCCCACCCTAGCTCTCTTTCTTTCACTCTCTTTCTCTTTCGCTCCACACACACTTGATCAGTCTGGCATTAATTTTTCTCATCAGATAAAACTGCAGTAACAAGTTGTTTTTTCATTGCTGTTTAAAATCAGCTTATTTTTATCATTACATTTTGCAATGTTCCTGCCGATATGTTTATTCATGTGGCACGGTTTTATCATTTTCTTTTTTGGTTTTTGTTTCTAAATACAAGCTAAGCTCCTTTTTTATTTCCTCTTAATACTTTAAATTACAAGCTCATCGATAACGCATAAATATTTAGCGTAAAAAAATGCTTATTAACGAACCTTTCTTATTAGATGACACGATGTTGGTTATAAAAAATTGCATTAAAATTATGTAATTCATTTGTTTACATGAATTTTAATATTTTTCATTAAATATTTGAATTCAAGTAAACATAAATTTAAATATATAGATAAATATTTTTTTGGTAAATAAGAGGTAAGTAATAACTAATTCTTATCATTAAAAAACATATTTTTAATATTTCTTCTCTAATATTCCAATATCGTGTCATCCAAGGCACTTTAGAATGGTACGTTATTTTGCACAATGAAAGACCTGTTATCAATTGAAATTTTGATACTACGATGTTTTGACAAAAATAAATGATGAACAATTCATATATCTTAACTTCCATCGTACATATCGTTCTAAATTAAATTATATGTATTTCCTTTGTTGCATCAGAACAATAACTATCTTATAATTAATGTAATTATTATCGATTTCAAAATTATTAGATAGCATTAACATGAATCTCTTTTCATATAGTATTAACTACACAAATAGTGCCCGGTACACGGACGGATGTCTAATATGATAGTTCAAAGTGATTATCATGTTTATTCTTTTAAGTTAAAGAGAAAGAGATAGTAATTTATGATAAAAAGAGTGCCCGCTCGATAAACAGCAATAATTTTCTCTAGCCAAATACGTAATACAACATTTTTTCGAATTATTAAATATAATTTAGATTTATTTCAAAAGAATACGAAAAACACTGAACTCTGTCGGTACAATTTTCCGCATATTAACATACAATGAATTTTTTTTCACGTATATAATAAATCTTAGAACTCATAATAAAAACATTTCAAAACATTAAAATCAATTATCATTACGAAAAATATTTTCTCAAATTAAAAGGAATCCATATTCTATTTTAATGAAAGTTCTCAATATTCATTATTCACATTTTTATATCGATATATAATTGAATAAAAGACCATAGTAACATCATTATCACAAGAGTACGATATATTCGGTATTGCACTTGTTTGCAATTACGTGTAAAAAAATAAAGTAATACCACCGAGTACTAAAAGTATTTCCGAACATTTCGTTAAAGTACCTGTTGTAATTTAAACACTGAATACTGCATACGATTCGCTGATCCTTCATATTATAATAAGATACAAATATAAATAGCTAGATTATATTTTAACCTTTTTGAAACTTACACAATATATATATAATCGCTGCATTATATTACAAATTATTAAATACAAAAATATTTATACCGATATGTTCATAAAATGTTGAAAGTACTTACACCCTTACATCAAAGAACATAACATATATAAATATATACATTCGTTCGTAATACATAATAAAATATAAAATTTAGTCCTTAACTTATTAAATTCAAATTTGTGCTTTCTACTTTTTCAAAAATAATCCAATTTTATGTTATACATTATTTAAAAAATAATGCTTTATAATAGAATAGGATCTAATATAATAAAATATAATTAGATTGAAACAAATTACAAAATGTATAAGAGTATAATTGTACTTAAAAAAATTATATAAAAAAATTAAAAATTTGGTCCTATATAATTTGCTTCTTATATTTGCATCTTCCAAAGAGATAATTGGGGAATCGTGTATGAATTATGTACATTTTCCATTAGTTTTCAGTGCAACATATCAATAAAAATATCAGTAGAGCAATATACATGTATGTATACACATATTAAACCTAGTTAGTAGATCTCTGTCTTGAAATTCTTAAAGTGTATTAATATCATTATATAACAGAAGGAGTATCAGTGTACACAATGTACATATTTTTCACTACTGTGTACTGCACATGATTTGTATATAAACTTGATATTTATGTCATAAACTAAGACATAATCATGGCTTAAAAAACACATTGTTATCAAGGAAACATAAAAAAAAAAAGGGATTGATAAAAATCAGATCTTATACAGTCTCACAACACGATTCCATATGGCAAGAGTTTTTCTTTTCCCATTCAGAGTAATCCATTTTACAAAAAAGTTACTTGATTTGCCTTGCTCTTCATATGTAAAAAAAGGAAATTCTATTTCAAAAGATGTTATACTCGATCGTATCATTCATCGAAAAAGTACCGGGCAAAATGTTGCATATTGAGTCATAAAATTTAAAACATATTTTGCCGGAATATAGTAAGATGTTTATGTCGGAAAAAATCATCTAAACGACTATTATTCATTACACCAAATCTTATAAAAGATAAAAACTTGTCGTTGTACTGTTCACATTATTTCTTTTTTTACACATTTAGTAGATTTGATCGAGCAAAATCTTCCTTGTGTCAAGAAGTTACACAATTAGCATTAAGTATATCTAAATATATTAACTACATCTTTGCTTGATCAAATCAATGCTGTTAACATATCGTCGTTTAAAACCTCTATTTATGGCTATAGAATTCAATTCTACTGTCAATATGTACCAACACAGTGAGAACGTCTATTTAGAATTATTCAAACAAAGTCTGCTAAACTGAGAAGGGCGACACAACGAGAAACATTCGGAAAATCGCCTTATATCGCGCGGGCTGTTTATATAATACGCGCACGTTTGTTTGTTTGTTGTGTGTGTGTGTTTGTGTGTGTGTGTGGGGGGGGGGGGGGGGGGGGCGGGGGGGGGGGGGGGGGGGGGGGCGCATGCATGCGTGCGTGCGTGCGTGCGTGCGCGGACGGGCGGGCGCGCGCAGTTTTGCATTATACATAATCGGTGGTAACCATATCATAGGAAACCACAATAAAGCGAATTAGCTGGTATCTATACAAACTCTTACCAGTATTTGAATAATATTCGGCAAGAGGATAAACAACCACCCAACGCCTTCAATATTCCTCATTACAAGAAACTTAGTAGCGTAACTCAGCTTTTCTTATACTTTCTTTGCTTTCTAAGATACGATACATTTGTTTGAAATAGAGTAGACAGAGTAGTGCGTGTGCTACCCCACAGCTTGAAGCGTTTGTTGCGTAAGTATAATGGTGAATTTGGAGTGATCGGAATGGGAACAGGATTTGAGGCCACCAAGTTTGACACCTGCAATGGTGACTCGCGTATTTCCTTCAGTTGAGGTTGGTCGAAGGCTCCACTGATCTGGTTTGGTGACTGGGGTTCGATTGCGATTGATCGGGGTATGGCATGGGGTTGCCGCTGGAGGGGCCTGTTGATCCTGAGCCCTGTTGCTGCTGGCCGCTGTTGAGTGCCAGCCGTTGCATTTGACGTATGACCGTGGCTGCGTGATAGGCTTGCTGCAACCATGAGAGAAGAGGAAGACTTTCCTACGGAGCCTGGCGAGCAAACACATACAATCAGCAGCTTGATAATCATCTAGCTATACTAACCTTCCACCTTGATTTGGCGAAATTTTTTCTAAGTTGTTCTGATACAGTACCATGGATATTTTTATTGCTAGCCGCATTGCCGGATATCCTGGAAAAATCAATTGCATGACACTATATTAGATACGAAATGTTTTTGAACGAAAACTAATTCATTACTTTATTGCATTGAATAAATATGTTAAGATATTTATTTGCAAGAGTTTCTTCAAATTTGAATATAAGAATAATACAAATTTTATTTTTTAATGTGAAATAGTGTCCATGCTTATATGCATTACAAAATTTCTATGGATGATTCAACAATTAATTTCGTGATAAGATTAGTTAATATATAACGAAATTAATGCAATTCTTTTACTTACTTAATCCGTATCTATCTTACTTTCAAAGATAATTCAGATCCTGTAATATTTTTATTGCTTGAATTTTAAAACACGACTATTCGAAAATTTAGAAACATAAACATAATCTAGAAATGTCAAAAATATCACAAATGCTCTTTAATGAAACTTCTTCTCATTACTGAATATATATTTATTGAAAGACAAGATTATTTCAAATGAAACAAATTGGTACAATATAAGTACAATAATAATCTTACCAAGGATGTGCAAGGGCTTGTTTACAAGTATAGCGCTCTTCGACATTGACGCACATCAATTTGTGAATGAAATCCTTTGCAGAGTCACTGATATCGTCCCAGTACGGCGAATCAAATTCAAATTCACCTATAACAGTCTGGTTAGCTTTTTGCTATAGAGTAGACGATTTTATTATGATTTATTTAATTTTTTAATGAATTATTTTATTTGGACAAAATACTGTTAGATTCACACTGTATTGAACAAATTTGTCTTTTATAAATCACTATAAAATATTCTGTAGAATGACTTCTTTATTTTTTCAAATATTACTAATATCAATTTTGGATTATGAATCTTTAATGCTAAATTAATTTGAAAATTAACAACTTTTAGAAAAAACGCGAGTACACACAAAAGATCATTTACTTACTACACTAGTATGTATATAACAGCATACAAAAACTAGAATAGTACCTTAAAAATGAAAATTTCAAGTTAATGTACAAATGCATGTATTATTTAACCCTAAAAATAACACCTGAATTGAAATGATTGTATAACCCTTCCAACAAAAATTTGATATTCTAAAATAGCTTTATTACCTTTTAAGATTTGTGCAAATAAATTCGCATCGATTTCGTCGTAAAATGGTGGATAACCACATAACAAAATGTAAGAAATGACTCCTATACTCCATACATCCACAGCTTTTCCATATGGTTTTTGTGCTAATACTTCTGGAGCTGGAGTAGAAATAATAGATATTGTATATGCTTAAATTTTGATAAAACATGTGTATATTCAGCTGAATGAAATTGGAACATACCAACATATCCTGGAGTACCACATGCAGTTGCCATAATACCAGAATCTTCCATTTTTGATAGGCCAAAATCACTAATCATAATCTTACTATCTTCATCTGGACTATAATATAAAAGATTTTCAGGTTTAAGATCTCTATGTACCACACCTTGATCATGCATATAATCCACAGCTTCTAAAACTTGTCTTATTAAACCTGATGCATCTTTTTCTGTGTAGGAACCTTTTTCAACAATTCTATCAAACAGTTCTCCACCAGTAACCCTAATATAAAAAATAAATAAAAATCAGACACAAACTTACAATATAATTAATAACATAAATTAATGAAAATACTTACAATTCCATAACTAAATAAACTTTATGTTTATCTTCAAATGTTTCTAATAATTGAACAATATTTGGATGTGTCAACCTGAAAACATACAACATAATTTAAAATTTAATAATGAAATTATCAGTAGTTAAGAAAAATACAGATAAACTACAAAAGTTTACCTTCGTAACACTCTGATTTCATTTTCTAAAGAGTCTTCCTTTCCCTTCAATGCTTTCTTATCAATGATTTTCACAGCAAACATTTGTCCAGATTTTTCTTTACTTTCTGCTAAACGTACCTCAGAAAAAGCACCCCTGTAAAAAAAATACATATATATAATAAGTAAATGCAACAATGTTAATCATATAAAGTTAGCATATTACATTATAATGCTATAATGTACTAAACTTTATGTAATCATTCAAAGTTCTTAATTATTATAAGTGTCATAATATTTGTTGTTCAGTATAATATGAAACTATATGCAACTCCTGCATATTCAAGATAAGTATTTTAATATGATAATATACTTCCTAATGTATAGACTATGATATTGCATATTAGATATTGTTTTAAAAAAGTAAAAATTAGAATAAATTAAATAATAACATATAAAATATGTTTGAAAATTAATTATACCATATTTGTTACAAACAGAAAGTACTTCCTCCTTTTTAATCTATTATAAAATATTTTGCTACTTTGTGAGTATAAATAAACATAAAATACAATTTTTTTTACAAGTATATTATAGTTAAATATGTTATATGT